GAAAGGGGGTATGGTGGAAGGACTAGGGGTCTCGGGCAAACCCGAGAAATCGGGTGCAGGAGTAGGCCAAGGACCAAGTGGAGTGAGTTGTTCCGCGGGTAGGTTGGGATACTACATGGAGGATTTGTAGATCCCGGATGACGAGGTAGGGAGAGTCCGAGGTAGAAAGACGTGTTGACCTCGGAGGAGTAACCGAAGTTGCTTCGGTTCTCGGTGGTAGGTCAGGAGGTGAGGTCTCCACATTTAGGTGGAGCTTCCTCGGGTAGGATGCTCGGTAGATGGTGTGAGCTGGGAGGTGTCGGGATTTCACCGGGTAGAGTTGGTGTAGGTTGGAGCGCTAGGACACCCCCTCTCGAGGTGGAGCACGTGCACTCACGTGTCTCATTCTCGGTGGAGCATTCATAGGTAACTAGGAGCGTCTTCACGGGATAAAACCGTGGGACAATCTTAGTTGGCAGGTTAGGGTCCGTGGGTAGAAGTCACTAACTCATAGGTGGTGTAGACTCTATGGGGATCCAGGGCTAGGTAGTCTAGCAGGTTCGATAGTATGACTCAGGTTAGTCTCGAGGTAGTCGAGTTAGACTTGGGAGACGCGTAGATGTCGGGGTTAACTCTCGAGGGTGCACAGGTGAAGTTTTAGACTTCATCGGAGAGAGTTATGTAGACGGTCTAGAGAGTCATAACTATTCGAGGTCTTAGCTAGTCTTCGGAAAACGGAAGGTGTCGGGGACACTCGTTTTGGGTAGACTAGGTATTGCGTGTTTATTTGTTTATCACGCTGAGACGTACTTATGGTACGCTCGGTAAGAACTCTATTAGAGCGGCACGTTTGATACGCCTAGGATGTGTCGGGAGGTAGAGTTTACATATGGAAGTAGATGGGAAGCGACAGCGTGCTAGGGTTCATGTTTGGCGTTGTATATATTGTGTTGCTTCGTATTCTCTTTCTTTTGCAGGTTTTGCAGAAGAAGGTGGAGAATTGATGGATTTCTTCAGCAATCCAGCAAAGACTCTAGGTGAGTTGGAGACTTCCAAAGTCTCTGAGCGAAGCAGAGGGTCTCCAAAACGCGGAGGGGCGTTTACGTCCTTTCCGGGCTTAATGAAACCCTAGTATCTTGGTTGTATCATTCATTCGAACTTTTTAGGGTTTCGGTTGGTTTTTTTCGGCCGAGAGTTTGTCTCTCGTCCGGCGAGCCTTGCTTGCGGTTTTCCGGCCCGTTCCGGCGGTGTCCGGTGGTTTTCCCTTGTTGTAACCCTAGCAGAAACACGCGGCTTCCTCTTCCCGAGACGTAGGCCCGAGCTTTATGCTCGGTGCTGAACTCGTATATCCTCTGCGTCTTTTTCCTTTCGGTCTTGCACAAACGAGGGTAGATCGGAGAGATTGGTGAGGCGAACCTCGACCGGGGCTGATCCACAACAAAATGGAATTATAACCACTGTGCCTAATGCTTTTTTTATTAACTAACAAGACTATTATAAAAATTCGGTTCAAATGAGAATCAATTCTCATATATGATCGAATTATCATAGACCGATAGAATTTTTTAAGTTTGTGAAAGAAATATGAACATATGTTCATAACTAGTTTTGATCTATCCAATTTTGGATAACTTAACCGATGAAATGGGGACGCAAAACATATATTCCGTCTCGAATTCGAATTTCAGGTTAGAGTAACGCAAATATGATTTCTCCATCGTAAGATTAATTTGAATTTTCGGTCCATGACATCCGATTATAAAAAAAACTAGTTTTGATCTAAAACATAAACTAAAAGCACATATATATATATATATATAGCAACTTTTGCAGTTAAAATTCCCTATTTCATAACTATATATTATAGTCAAAAAGTCATATATTAATTTGTGTGTTTTATGTTTTATGGCATTTTGCTTTCTTAAATGTTAAAAGTCAAAGGAAAACTTTAGGACGACGGAAAAAGACAAACAAAATGGAAGAAAGAAAGAACATTGCCTCCACGAAGTCAGATTATGGCTCCCTAATCATTGCAATCAGATTTCATTACTGTTGACACCTTATGCCCTAGCCACCTAAAATCCTATTACACAAAACACCCATTATTATAATTTGTATATAAACGCACACATGTATATATATATATATAAATTATATATATACATACATATATAAATTATATGTATATACACACACATAACCGTAATGACCATTTAATAAAAAAAAAACCGTAATGACCATCTAATAAAAGAGTAGCCCATGATGTCATGATGACCCTTGGAAACAAAACCCTCCAAAGAAACTTTTGCAAATAACAAATTTCATTTTATGTTAACAATAAATTGTCATATATTATATATATGCTAGATAATGTGAAACTTATATTAATTGTTATTTAAAAATTATTTTCGCTTCGTACATAAGTTTGTAATACCCGTATATTAATATGATCTTGGAGTTTATAAAAAAAAACACATAAATCAAGCATGGGTTAAAGAACATAAAACATTTCCTATTGATACAGATAGATGTTTTGGGGGCAACAGATTGAGAGTTATTCTCAATATTGATGCAAGATATATAAATATATTGTTTATATAGTTGTTTAATTGGTATAAAACCGATATCATACACATATATTGACCCTCAAAATTTATATTATATATTTGGTTGTATTTTTTTTACTGCAGCAAGAAATGGGAAAAAATAATGGCTCGCATGCAATAATGAATTAATTAGGATTTAATCTTCCAACGAAAACTTAGAATAATTATTTATTTGATTTTTATAAGCAATAATAATATATTTTTTTTTATTATGTACATGTATATAATGTTTTTTAGAACTAGAAACAGCTGGCGTACTTCATGGCATGGCTTAATGCAACATAACGAAAAACTTAGTGAATTAATTAAGTTTAAACGGAAGGGCCTAATCAATTAAAGCACTATACATACATATATATATATATAATCTAGGTTCCAAAACTTAGCTAAGGCTTGATTAAAAAACCTTCAAGTGAATGTTGTTCGTGACAACATGCTTACAACAAACATATCTTTTTCTACATTATATATTCTAAACCTAATATTATAATATCAATTTATCATTCTTCTAGGAGATTTTATATCCGTATTGGCTATGTATATATAAATATATGTGTGTGTGTGTGTGTAGTAGTTGATGAGCGACTCTACATTTTGTAAATTTGTTATCCTTTTTATAGCCTGATAAACAAAGCAAAATATGTTATATATAAATATATATATATATATATATATATATATATAAAACTCGCATGACTCCCTCAACATTTATCTATATGGCACTCAAAAGATTTCGGAAGAGGAAAAGAGAGAGAGAGAGGACTTAACTCATATTCAAAACCGTAATCTATCTTTTGGTTATTATTAAAAAGCACAACCCATCGTGGAAGAGATCGACGATAAACACTAGTGATAATGCATGCATATATATACATATATATATATATATATTAATATATTATATGAACTAAAAAAATGCCCCCTTACAATAATTTTTTTTTTGTAATCATTATAGATATAGACGGGGATCACAATAGTTATATATGCGCATTATGAGCGAGCGAGCGCACAAATGCTCACATGCAAATGATGAAAAGTTTGCACGAGAAGCATGAAAATTTTGGGGGTTCAATTTTTTTTCATCCAAAAAATTATGGAGATGATGACTTGAACTATGATCATGAATTATACTCATAAGAGTATATGCTTTGCATGCATGCAATGCCAAACTACTTTATAATATCCATATTTGAGATCATTAATAGCTTTAGCAAACGTTTATGATCACATGCTTTACAGTCAAATCTCCTAGGGTTTTGAAGGGCTTTAGGGCGTGTGTGTGTGTGTGTATTCATGCATAATCATGTAGATATATTTAAACTTTGATACCATGAATTGAATTTTGATTTTAATCCTAGAGAATATTTTCCAAGTTCTCAATGTGTTAAACTTAAAAGGGCTACAGACATGAAATACTATTTGAGGTCATGTTCATGTTAATTTTGTTTAAATGTGGTAAGGATATGTTTATGCATTTAGTTTTGAAAAAGATTGTAGTTGATGTCTAGCTAGCTTTGACCGTATATATACGTATACATACGTGTGTTTGTGCATATGTATAGACAAGGTGTGTGTGTATATATATATAAAATACATTTTTTATAGTTTGACCAAGTTGTTAATTTAATTTCTAAAACGGTTACCATGCAAGCATTTATACTTGAGATGAAACACGGTTCTTTCCTAAAATGTTTTAATGTCCTAATTAAGACTCCAACTCCTAAATTCAAACACAAGAAAGGCAAAAGACCTTTCTTTTAACACACCCACAAACATATATATATATATATATATGTGTGTGTGTGTGTGTGTACCTATAGGTAGGTGGCATTGCTATATACAAATAGACGTGTACCTACACTAGCACAGACACATATATAGGGCATGGAACGAATATATAAGAGAGCACTATCACCTTTAATTAGAAATTGATAACACACATACTTAGACACAAACTGGTCTGACCGTTAATCAATCGATTTTCATGATTATCCAAAACCAATAATTATAAACTCCCAAACAAGACAAAAACTAATAGAGATAAACAAAAACAGATACATACACCAAGCAAAGACATAAACGTGTGACCTAATTAATTAACATGAAAACACTTTGTGGGATTTAGTTCCTACGTTCCTGTCATGTTCCTCGATCGCACACCAACCCCCATGAATGATCCCTTTCCACATGTTTGTAATCCACTCCTAAATTTTTTTTAATTAAAATTTTCCATTTTTTTTAAAGTTGTTTCATATTCTTGAATATATATATATGTATATGTATATATATGTTCGACCCCATCTTATTATATTTCAATAATTTTGATGCAGGAAGATTTGTGGCTAAGGCAAGCAATGCACATGGGAGATTGTGAAATAAAGTAAAAAGGAAGTGAAGTGAGATAAAAATACGTACCTCGGATTCGTGCTCCAATCGCAACTTGTTCACCAAATATTTCATCAACAGCCGAACCGTCATCCTCCCGTCCCTACGCACCAATATCCAAGAATCGAAATCGAAATAATCAATTCCAAAAACAATTCAAATAAAAAAACCCGTCAGATTTGCTTTTATATATATATATATATATATATATATATAGATATCAGAAAATTGATGGTACAAGTGACTTATACGATAATTAACCAAGATGTTACTTACTTGATTCTCAAATAGCTTTTCGGTATCTGAGGCAAGAACGGCTCTCTCGTCCTGAAACGTTCGCGTAACGAAAAATTTCAACCAAGAAACTGAGTGAACACATTGCTAAAAAACTAAAACATACTCGAACTAACGTTTTTTGGGCCGGCATAGAATCAAGAATTTGAACCTTGAAAAGTAAAATACGTTATTTTGTTTAGCTTACTGGTTTTCAGAAGCTTGAAGGACGAACCAAATGCCCGAATGAGGCCTCCTTGGAGGGTCGACGGCTCGAAAACTCGAGCTCGGACCATCGGTATAACTCGAAGTCCCCATTAATTGGGATTGAAGCATTGAACGGGCGAAGTAAGGTCCCATCAAAGGCATCATCAAAGAAGGAGACCGGGTTAGGTTCTGCTGCACGAAAGGCTGTCTGAACGCCGTCCAAGAACCGAGCATCTGCTCGTGTCCGGCCGGAAACACTAATGGACTCATCATCCCTCCGCCTTGATGATGATATTGATGCAACAATGACGGTCCAATTCCTAAACCGGTGTTGGCAAAAGGCAATGCCATCGGTTGAACCTCTTCTTGACCAGGGTACCTACTCAAATCGCCCGAGAACAGGTTAAGCTCTAACATGGGATCTTCCCTACCAGTTGTCAAATCAGCTTGATGATCATCACCGCTATGAACTTGGCTCCGATCAAGACCGGTTTCCTCATCCGGTTTGGCCTCTCCGGTTTGGCCTCCTATGCTTAACCTGAGCCACCCTTCTTCTCTCATCTCTTCTTGGTTATTAAGACCGGTATCAGTGTTGGTGTCAGCGTAAGTGTTACCCTCGTTGTTGTTGTCGTCTTTGGAGCTAGACCCAGAATTAGTTCTTGGCTCTTCTCGATCCGCCATGAAACTAGAATTATGATTATCGCTTCTACAATCTCTTTTATTAATAATATGTTTTACCTCGTCTTCTTTCTTGTCGTTGTTATGTTGAACAGATCCTAAGCAAGCTTCGTTCTTGTCTTTGTCGTCGTTGACGTCAGACAATTCTTGAACTTGCTGTAATAACTTCATAAAATCAAAACTTTCCGACAGCCCACCGCCGAGATCGCCACGACAACCACCGTGACCGCCGCAAATAAGACGTGTTGGCGACGGCTCAGCTGGAACCATGGCGGATTCCGGTGACCGGAGAACCCCAAGAATCCCGGAGAAGAGAGAGAGTAGGTGAACTTGATGGAGTCAACATGAGGATTCAACGGAGAGAGAGAAAATTAGGGTTTTTGTTAGATTCGAGATGCATGGTGGGGAAGAAGAGGAAGGAGAAGTGGAGAAGCGAGAGCCATGAAACTCGAGAGAGATTAAAAAAAAATTATTTTCAGAGAGTATCGTGTGTTAATGATTGTGACGAAAGACAAGAAGGAGAATAAATCTGCCAAATCTCCCTTTCCATTAAATCCTTTTTTTTGGAAGTTTGTGGAAATGAAATAGTTGCAGAGAGAGAGAGAGAGAGAGAGAGAGAGAGAGAGATGATCTTGCAATTTAAATAAAGTAAAGGGTACTTGTACTTGCCTTATAACCTTATTAGCAAATTAATGGTATACAAATGATATATATGTAGATAAGTTCAAAATATTACTTTTTCGACTCTCTTTTTTTTAAACCCACGTAATTCTATATTTTTTTAAATCTAGATAATTTCATGTCATATGTATGCGAAAATCCGCGTATTTCATTTTCATGTATATGGCGAAATAAAGTAGAGTTTTTTTTTTAAAGATTATATTTTTTCGTTTTAAAAATGGCATAAATTTGAAAAACATACATACCCATTTGGTTATCCTTACTTTTATCTGCATCCTATAAAAAGAATATTAGGTTTAAATCTTGATTTCATTTCATATGCTACTTTGTAATTAAATTACATATTATTATACACTCGTTATTTTTTTAATAGATGTATTAGTAGTTTAAAACTTAATATATATACTTTGTAATAAATTTGAGGCTATCATACATGGAAAAAGTTTTGTCAAATGTTTCCACGTGCCATGAAAAGTCTCCTTTTGGGGTTCTAGAGTCTCAAAAACCTCATTTCCTAATCTTATTTCCGTAACATTTTCATGATTCTTAACAACTATTTATTGACTAATTAATCATGTTTAACAACATGGATTATCGGAGAGAAATTTTGTGCCTCTCTCTCTCTCTCTTTTCATTTTCACATATATTATTGAAAAAAATCAGTATATACACATCAAAACACCATTCCATTCCATGATCTTTTTTTGCATAACATAGAAATGTCCCACATGTTTTGAAATTTTAACTAAAAACTTTGCCCTTCTATATAACAGAGAAAATAAGTAAAAGATGATTGGATTTATCATTATTCAACATAAAACATAATAATATTTATAAATAGAAAATATAATCACATAATATCTTATTTAATCAAAATAAATATATAAAATGTAAAAATAATATCAAACCTAAATATTACATAATATTCTAATATGCTCTTCACATCTTTTGATATCTCTTAAGATGTATTTTCATCGGTTCTGGTTTATTTCGGTTTATTCCGGATTAGTTTCTATTTTGGATTTTAGTTTGGTTATTGACTCGTATAACGAGATTTTAGCGGCATTTGGTCATTTAATGAAAAGTTTGAAATTATCCCAGATTCTTTTTCAGCTTTTCTCTCTCTCTTTCGTTTCTCTCTGCTTCGATTCTTCTTCTTTTATTGTTCTCAAGTTCCACAACGCAAAATGGTATTATAGCGATAATCGATGATTCCGCTTTTCAATTCTTTGGTTCCTTGATCTTTTCTCTGTGTTTTACTCGGATTTCGGATGTCAGAAACCGGAGGTTTTGGTCATGGTGATCCTCTTGGAGATCTAGTTCGTTCTACTCAAGCTGATTCTTCATCAGGTGCTTCGATTCTTTTAGCTCCATACACAAATCCTTTATATCTTCATGCAGCCGATACATATAGTCTTAATCTCATTTCTGAGAAGTTAGTTGATGAATCCAACTATTATGTTTGGTCAAGAGCTTTTCGAAAGACTTTGAATCTGAAAAAGAAGCTAGTTTTTTTCACGGGAACTGTTCCGCAACCAGCTGAAACTCATCCTGATTTTGTCACCTGGTGGAAATGCAATGATTTGGTTAGTACTTGGATTTCCAACGTTGTATCTCCTGATATTTCTAGTTTGATTACGAACTTTGATTTGGCTACGAATATCGGGAAGAATCTGGAAATTCAGTTCAAGCAAAACAATGTTTCGAAGATTTTATTCAACAACAGTTAGATTCAGTTAACCAAGGTGCTATGGATCTGCGTACATTTTACATTAAGATGTCTTTATTATGGGAGGATTTGAAGAATCATGAGCTTGTCCTACGTGTAGTTGTGGTCAGTGGCGGACGCACGTTGATGGCAATGGGGGCCTTTGCCCCCATTAGTTTAATTAAAAAATGTAATTTTCTTTGTAAATTTTCATAATTTTGCAAATAAAATTGGAAATGCCCCCATATTATAATAGAAAAATTATGTTTGGCCCCTCTTAAATAATTTTCTAGATCCGCCACTGATTGTGGTGGATGTTCTTGTGGTCTGGAGATGAAATGGCTTCAGTTTTATGAGAGGCGCAATATTGTGAAGTTTCTAATGCGTCTACATGAATACTATATTCCAGTACGTCGCCAGATTCTGAACATGAAGCCATTGCCAAATTTGGCTCGTGTTTACAGTTTGTTGGCTCAGGAGGAACAACACAAGATAAACCAACATTTTGTGCCAGCCAGTATTTCAGACTTCTGTTTTCCCTCAGTCACAAGCACATACTTCTTTTCAGCGTCCACGACCTCAGAATTCTAGACCAAAGCCAATTTGTTCTCATTGTGGTCTTTTTGGTCACACAATGAACATATTCTACAAGATATATGGCTATCCTCCTGGTTACAAGGCTCCAGGTGCAACTTATCATAATTCTCGTCCACCACGTCCTAATGTTCTAGCTCCAGGATTCAGACCTTCTTTTCAAGGCAATAGACCACCTATCAATTTGGTTCAATCAAGTTTTGATGGAACACATGATGCATTTGCTACTAAGAACGCTCTAGAGCAAGCTCAAGCATTATTAGCTCAGTTCTCTACACAACTCAAGGGACATGGTAATTCTTCAATGTCTTCTTGTTTTCTAGCAGCTCCTCAACTTCCCATATCACCAGGTAATTTTACCTCTCCTATTTTTTCCACCTTTGAAATCAACCTTTACTTTTAACCATGCTATTTGGATAGTTGATATTGGTGCGAGTGTACATATCTGTTGTGATCAATCTTTGTTCTCTGTATTGCAAGATATTCCTTCTGTTTTGGTCACTTTGTCTACTGGTGCCATTATTCCTGTTTCAAAATTTGGAACAATACATATTTCAGACAAATTGGTCCTCTTTGATGTCCTTTTTGTTCCGAGCTTTCACTATAATCTTTTGAGTGTTAGCTCTTTGACCAGAAACACTTCTTTGTCAGACACATTTACTCATGATTCTTGTCTTATTTAGGACCTTACTCAGGCATCGATGATTGACAAGGTAATCAGTCTCACAATCTATACATTCTTCATGTGTCACATTCTTCTCAGCCATCATTTTCCTTGGACTACCCTCTTTGCACTGCTGTTTCCGCAATATCAGTTGATCTTTGGCACCAGCAGCTAGGTCATCCTTCTTTTCTTCGAGTTCAATCTCTTGAGAAGTCGTCACAGCTTTAGTTTACTCCACTGTCTGACAGTGAATCTCATTACTCTGTTTGTCCATTGGCAAAACAAAAGCAATTATCTTTTCCTGTGTCCGGTCTTCTTCTGTACCGTTTAAACTTTTATATTTGGATGTATGAGGTCCTTTTCATTTGCCAATTCCTTCTAGTCATAGATATTTCTTTACCATTGTGGATGATTGCACAAGAGTTGTTTGGGTATATCTTTTGATCAATAAAAGTGATGTTTCAGATAAATTTGTTCGGTTCTTAACTTTTGTTGAAACACAGTATGAGACAAAGGTAAAATCTATTCGTACAGATAATGCCCATGAACTTGCTTTTCCTGACCTTTTTGCTTCAAAAGGAATTCAACACTTTAAATCCTGCCCTTATACGCCAAACAGAATTCTATTGTTGAGCATAAGCACCAACACATCTTAAACGTTGCCAGAGCCTTACATTTTCAATCTCATATTCCTCTTTCTTTTTGGGGTGAGTGTTTGTATTCCTTATTAATAGAACTCCAACTCCTTTGCTAAATCATAAAACACCTTTTGAAGCTTTGACAGATTCTAAACCACTTTATTCTCACCTGAAAGTGTTTGGTTGCCTCTGCTATGTTTCAACAACTGTAAAAGATTGACATAAATTCTCACCTCGAGTTAAACCTGCAGTGTTTTTAGGATATCCTCCTGGCACTAAGAGTTATCGAGTTTTGGATATTGAAACAAACAAAATTATGGTCTCTAGAAATGTGGTTTTTCATGAGAATGTATTTCTTTCAAAGACAAAAAATTTTCAACATTGATTCCTAATTTTGGTCATTCTGATGAGTCTAAATTTGCCTTTCTTTTTGTATGAATCTCCTTCTACAACTATTGTAGATTCTTCCTTGTCACTAGATATTTCAGGAGATTCTTCTGAGTTTGTCTTTCATTCTGAGTCTGATTCTGTGTCTAATTCTTCTGTGTATCCATCTTACAATACTGAGATCTCTGGTAGATCTCACAAACTTGTTAAAACACCAGTTTATCTTAGTGATTATCACTGCTATCTGCTCCAACATTCAGATTCTCCTCCCTCATCCTCTGTTACCCCATATGCCATTGCTTCTTTTCTCTCTTATTCTTCTTTATCAGCTCCTTACAAACATTTTTCTCTTTCTATTTCTCTTGACCCTGAACCTACTTCTTTTTCTACTGCTGTAAAATCTGAGCATTGGAAAGTTGCTATGAACCAAGAGTTAGAGGCCTAAGCTAGAAGTAATACTTGGGAGATTTGTTCTTTAACAGCTGATAAACATCCTATAGGGTGTAAATGGATTTTTAAAACCAAGTATAATACTGATGGGACAGTTGAGAGGCATAAAGCCAGATTAGTGGCTAAAGGTTACACACAATTAGAAGGAATAGACTATGTAGAAATATTCAAGCTTGTTGCTAAGATGACTACAATTCGGATTGTTTTGGCTATTGCTGCAAATCAGGGCTGGTTAGTTCAACAAATGGATGTTTCTAATGCTTTCCTGAATGGTGATCTTTCGGAGAAAATTTATATGTCATTGCCACCAAGATATGCTACACTTTAAGAGGGAGAAAGTACCTGTAAATTCTGTTTGTCGATTGCTTAAATCTCTATATGGTCTTAAGCAAGCTTCGAGACAATGGAATTTGAAGTTGACTCAAGTTTTATTGGATTCTGGTTATGTTCAATCAAAATCTGACGCTTCTTTGTTTATGAAGAGGCAGGGTACTAGCTTGGTAACTATTTTGGTGTATGTTGATGATATTCTTTTGGCTGGAAATGATGTTGAGTTGATTTCTACCATAAAGTCTGTTATAAGTTCTGCTTTTCAGATTAAAGATCTTGGAGATGTGAAATATTTTTTGGGACTTGAAGTAGCTCGGTCGAAGAAGGGTATTTCAGTTTGTCAAAGGAAGTATACATTGGAGATGCTTGAGAAGTTTGACATGATTGGTTGTACGCCTGCTTCCACACCAATGGAATTTCGGGAGAAATTGAGTTCTGAATCAGGTGATCTCTTACATGATCCATTACATTACAGAAAGTTGGTTGGCAAGTTGATATATCTTTGCATAACTAGGCTAGACATTAGCTTTGTTGTGACTAAGTTGAGTCAGTATATGTTTAAGCCAACTTCTGCTCATCTTCAAGCAGCTTATAGAGTGTTGCATTATTTTAAGAATGCTTCATCACAGGGATTGTTTTTCTCTACTGAAACTGATTTAAAACTTGTTGCTTACACGGATGCTAATTGGGCATCTTGCCCGGATTCTAGGAGATCTGATAGGTTTTTGTATTTTCTTAGGAGATTCTTTAGTTTTCTGGAAGTCTAAGAAGCAGGTCACGATCTCTCATAGCAGTGCAGAGTCCGAATATAAGGCTATGGCTCAGACCACTTGTGAGTTGGTTTGGATGTCATCAGTTCTGGTTGATCTGTCTATTCCGGTTATTAAACATGTTGCTCTGTTTTGTGACAGCATGTCAGCAATTCATATTGCGAACAATGTTGCGTTTCATGAACGCACGAAACATATTGAGCTCGATTGTCACTATGTTCAGGATCAGATTGAGGCTGGATTCTTGAAGCCGCTGCATGTTTCTTCCAAAGACAATGTAGTTGATATCCTCACCAAACCGTTATATGTTGAACATTTTAAGAGTCTTTTGTTCAAGATGGGAATCCATAGTGATGTCAATTGGGTTGGTCCAACCCATTTGGGTCCAACCCATTTGGATTTGAAAGAGGTTGAGTTGGGTCAACCCATTAATAATAGTGGGTTGGGTTGGGTCGACCTATTAAACTCGTATAAACCATATAACCCCATTTATATATTCACAAATTATTTATACATATGTATAACTATTAATATGTATACTCATATAACCTAAAAATTATCATTTTAATATTCGATTCGGTTTATCAATTCAATAAAAATATATACAAAATCGGATATTATATTATATTCGATAGTTTATAAAAAAAATTATACATTTCTTTTAAAAAATCAGAATTTTTTTTATTTATAAATTTTTTAAAATTTGATTCGATGTTTTAAAAATATTGTCGTTTAGATTTTTTGAACGGTTCAGTTCGAAAACGACACCGATTTTTTCAATACGATTCGATTCAGAAACGGTGACGAGTTTTTCCGGTATGATTCGAATTTTTTGATACGATTCGATTCGGAACGGTATCGAATTTTTTATACGATTTGAATTTTTCATCACGATTCGATGCGAAAATGACACCGAGTTTTTCGGTACATTTCGATTCGGAATGATACCGAATTTTTTATACGATTCGAATTTTCCGACATGATTCGATTCAGAAATGCCACCGAATTTTTCGATACGATTCGATTCGGAAACAAAACCAATTTTTTCGGTTCGATTTGGAACGGTATCGAGTTTTTTTATACGATTCGAATTTTTCGGCACGATTTGATGCGAAAGCAACACCGAATTTTTCAGTATGATTCGATTCAGAGCAGTATCGAGTTTTTCGATATGATTCGATTCGAAAACAAAACCGAATTTTTTAATACGATTTGATTCGAAAACGATACCAAACATTTCGATTTAATTCATATACATATATATTTGTATATATATAAATATCTATATATGTTAATTTTTATAGATCTAAATATAACAATTTTAATTAGTTACAAAATGAGTTTAATTTTAACTAAATATATAATGGGTTTAACCATTTAACCCATGGATTTAATGGGCCAAAACCCATTTAATCCATTTTAAAAAATTAGTCAAATGGGCTAACCCATTTGGGTTTATAAGTGGGTCGGGTTCAGTCGACCCGTATAACCCGACTCATTTTGACATCTCTAATCCATAATTTGTATTCTCCATGTTGAGGGAGAGTTTTAAGATGTATTTTCATCAATTTCGGTTTATTTCAATTTATTTCGGATTAGTTTCTATTTTAGATTTTGGTTTGGTTATTGACTCGTATATAACGAGATTTTAGTGGCATTTGGTCATTTAACGAAAAGTTTGAAATTGTCCCATATTCTTTTTCAACTTTTCTCTCTCGCTTTCGTTTCTCCCTATTTTGATTCTTCTTCTTTGATTGTTCTCAGGTTCTATAACGCAAAAATATCTTCGAAAATATTATTCATCAGCAACATTTCGATAACGTATAATTTATATTCATCTTGAACATTTTATTATAGATATATATTTACATATATTATCATTTAGATAAGAAATAAATTTTGTATGTATGATATTGAAGAACGGAGAGAAGAAAAACTGGAAAAAAAAAGCGAGAAAAAAAATTCTCACTCCACAAGCTCCAAGAAAAAGAAAATCTTTAAATTTCTCTATACGTAATCATGCCAACTTTTGGTATATTTCCAATCTCTTCAACGTCAATGAAACACATTATCTGTACGGGAGATGGGTTCCAAACTTCCAATATAACAATAAGCATTGTAACGTCATACATATATATGTATATATATACATATATATGTGTATATATATGTATGCACAATAATGAGCATTGTACCGTCATATGTATATATATATATACATGTATCATGTATGTATATTGGTACTCAACTACAAAGATATTGTTGACAAGTCAAAGTTCTAGTCAGCACTTGGGGATTGTACATATATATATATATATACACACTTGTGTGTGGTGTATATAAATGTGTATCCAAAACCTCACAAATAGTTGGCCTTTTTTATATTTTTGTTTCCCATTTGGTTAATTAAAAGCTGGACTTGCAGTAAAGCCTGAAAACGAGACAAGTGGAGTGCCGGAATAAGTGGAGAGGCATTATGACAATTATACCTTTAAATTAACATAATTTATATATATATATATATGTTAGTTCTATTAATAATCCCAATATACATAATATTTTATTTATCGAATCAGACTTCTAACATTTATTTATTTGATTAGAAGCATTTTTTAAATTAAATTATGATACAGAGGAGGCTGCTGACTAATATAATATATATATATATATATATATATGCGTGTTTTTATTTGCTTGGTCCGTCGCTATTACGTACAAGACCTCAATTTGGACACAATTACATGGGCTAAAAGCGGTTGTAGGCCCAATATGAGATATAAAACGGCACCCAGTTCAAGGCGACGTAACCCAGACGTCATGCAGTGCATCGATGGATGCGCATATATTCGCATCTTTCGCACGTGCGAGGATCCTCGTGTGTGTCTCTTCCTTCATATACACGACCGGGGCGATGTTCGGCTGCATTTTCGAAGAACGGTAGACGGTTTAGGTAAGACTCTCTCTCTAGATCTCGATCTCTGGTTTCTAGGGTATCGAATTGTATCTCCTTTTTGCGCTCTTCTTCGGATTAACGTTGAGAATTTGAATTTTTCACTACCAAATTCTTCGATTCATACTTATAACGGAGGTTGTGGAAGAATTTGGTTTCAGAACGGGAAATTAACCGGTGTTCGTGGTAGATTTCGATTCGGTTTCTCGTCTGTTGAATTTTCGCTCTCCTTCTCCGGAATTCAAATCGTTGACTTTAAATGTACATGCATAACGTAATTATATGATATGGGTTTTGTTCTTTTTTCGATCAATTTGCATAATCGGAGCCCTGAATATTGATGTTTGCAGTTGTTTTCTCCCAAACACTTTTTAGGGTTTTATCACTTGTCAGATTTTCTGGAGGATTTTGTAGCCACTGATCTGTCATCATGAAGTTCTTGGAGTATACTAATCTGGACAGGTTAGTTCTTGGTCAAATCGAGTTATCCTGGTTAAATCCTGCGAACTGTTTCTCTGTCGTGTCGGATTCTGAATTCACATCGAATGCTTGTTTTACAGACTGAACGAATTCATGGGTCATTTGAATCTCGGAGAAAGAACTATCAAAGGATGCTTGGAAGCTTACTCTTGTAAGAATCTGTTCGTGTTGTTTGTTTAAAGACTTTTGGTCCAAAAAGTGATAAGTTTGTTGATTGTTGTGTCTAGGCAAACACACGGGGACTGATAAAAGACTGTCTCTTAGTTTGGAGAATGAGGTAAATTGGTAGTATTCACCTGATGTTATGAAGTTGTCTTTTGTTGATCACAGCCATCTGGTTTCTCGTCTAAGATGATACTTTGATGCTCTCATGTATATGTAATTTATCAATGCGATGGATACAAAAGAGCAGATATAGTACTTGTCTAGTCTCTGCTGCATATATATGGTTTTCATGCAACATTTCGAATATGATGTCTCATACAGTAGTATTGGTTCCAGAGGCCTCAGGGTTTTTATTTGTTTATTTTTGTTCTTTTCAATCTCTCAAATTCAGATACTTGATTATCTTGGGAAATCTTCAGATACAGACTCTTCATCTCCTGTTGAGTTTCTCTTGAGCAGATCAAGGTTAGAGCTCTGGTCAAGTAGTTTTAGGCAGATCTACAATCTGTGCTTTCCTCACTGATACATTGTTGTGCCTGTTCCAGCCGAAAGGCATTGATCTACCTGGTTCTTACACTGTACCAGATGTATCCGGACTACGATTTCAGGTACCTCGATGTGTAACAGTTTTTGCTTTTCGAGGGAGGGTTATGGGTAATGTCAATGTCAGCTTCTTGGGCGATTTGGCAACCCGCTATATAATCCTCCTTCAACCTTTTTGTGTGGGAGTGTTGTCAGATGGTTTGACAAGCAGTTCTGTAACTGTTGCTCGAGTAGCTGAGAGTTCAAGTCTCTCCATTTCCCAAATGTGTCTATGTTAAACCTGTCATAGTCACTTATCGCTCGTGCAAGTGCCAAAAAGTGTCTGATAAACTCACCGAGTGCAGCTATATCTAAGTGGCTTTGTCATTATTGCGAATGTCTTCAAATTTTCTCCATTTTCAGCACCGTCAAGGCACACCAGTTCTTCTCCGAGGAAAGTTGGGACTCGTTTAAGCAGATTTTTGATGCCTATATGTTTGAAGCTTCGAAGGTATTTACGAGTTAATTTTCAATCTCAAACATTTAAAAGACATGTATGCAGTCTGATGGAAATCATCAGAAGGGTCATGTGATGGGATGGGAGCCATTCCTTTGAACTTATAAGTTTATAAATATTGATAAAATAGTAATGGAAATGGATCAAGATTGTTCGTTGGGCATAATGTTGTTTTTTTTACCATGAGGGCTTTGATGACAGAATATTTGCTGCTGGTTTACATTTATGATTCCTGCTTTGTAGGAATGGGTGGAGAGAAATGAAGAGGGTTCCCTTCTTGAGGCTCTCTACAAGGCTCTGGATGAGGTCAGTTTCCTGTAACCAATTCACTGAGCATTCAAAAGTAGAGGTGACACATTTTCTAACACAACTGTCGCAGGTTGTCAAGTTAGCCGAATGCGAGATATATGTATACAACCCTGATCCCGATGCCAATCCTTTCCTCGAGAAAGGAGCAATGTGAGTTACAACAGGCACTTGTTCTACAGAATCAAAAAATGAAAATTTCGAGCTGCCATTGGCATTGCAGTAAAGTTTGATTCTTTTTCGATTATCCTTTGGTAAAATGCAGATGGTCTTTCAGTTTCTTCTTCTACAACAGAAAACAGAAGCGCGTAGTGAGTTTTCGCTTCTGCTGCATAAGGTTAGACTATCATACCTTCCGCTTCGGTTGACTCTTCACGATCTTGTTTCTTTCATTTCTCCGAGACTCCAATGATGTTTTTTTTTGCAGTAATCTGGCAGATGAAGGATTTCTTACTGACACCATAGCTCAAGCAGACGATGAGGAGATATTCAATGACATGGACATATGATCCAAGTTTCCCGAATGGTAGCTGTACAATTTGTACAAAATCTGTATATCATCGGTGTTATGTTCTCTAGGCGTCGTGTCTGAATCCAAGGGTAAGCTTTCTCACTTTCCTTAAATCTGTGTAGCTCTGACCTGACTTATGCGTTATAGGACTTACGTTGTCAAGTGTAGAAGCGTGTCCAGGGTTTGTCATAGTCCACTGTCCTTGGTTTCGATCTGAAGATACAGATGTTGAGATCTATAATCTCTCTTTCAATTCGATTCTACTCTTATTCATGTTTCTCGGATCAGTTGTTTACGCTCACCAGTAATCGCCACAAGAGCACTCGCCCTGGTGAAAATGGTGGAAGCGGTTCATGTCTCTTATGACAAGATCTCGCTGCACGATCTTCGATATCAGTTTCATGACATTATGACAGTCTGAGCATATCCGTAGGTTCTTGATGATTCTGAGGAGATTTCTCGACGGCATTCGGACAAGCCCAAAAGCCAGAGCCAGCCTCTCGCTATGAACCCACAGGCGCCGATCCTTTTCGTCATCGTCCATATCCAGCACGATCACGCTTCGATCAGGAGCATAACCAGCTTGTCTTGTCTTTATGTTTAACCATTCAAGCATTCCGTTTATAAGCTTCTTGTCAGGATGCGAAGAGGAGCTTCCAACGCTGAAGTAATGGACACTTCCTTGATGTTCTATCCAACTTAAACCAGGTTCTTTACTCACACCATTTTCCCTCATTCTTCTCCTTGTTGATGCTACATCTGCCCATTTCTTCGCACCGGCATACATATTTGATAACAGAACGTATGTTGCTTCATCTTTAGGATCTATCCTTAGAATCTGCTCGGCCGATTTTCTAGCAAACCCTAAGCTTTTCTGAATGACAGAGGCACCGAGCATCGCCCTCCAAACCATAATGGTCGGCTCGTGTGGGATTTCCTCGATTAACTTCATGGCCTTGTCTAGTTGCCCTGACCTTCCCAAAAGCCAGACCATGCATGTGTAGTGCTCCATAAAGGGTTCAATGCCAAAGTCCCGAACCATCGACCGGAAATAACCTTGACCGAGATCCAGCAAACCTGCATTGCTACATCCCGAAAGAATCCCAACAAATGTCAGCCCATTCGGTATGCAACCGCTTCCTTTCATCTCCTCGAAGATTTTCAAAGCCTCTTTTACCAGACCGTGCGTAGAATAGCCCGAGACCATCGTATTCCATGACACTACATCCTTTTCAACCATCTCCTCGAACACAAAGGTTGCGCCTTTGATGTCCCCACACTTTGCATACATATCTACCAAGGCATTGCCTACAACCGTGCGTAAGTAATGACCGGTTTTTATTGTCTCTGCATGAATCTGAACGCCAAGCTCGAATGCCGCCAAAGATGCGCAAGCCCGGAGAGAGCTAGAGAAAGTCACTTCACTGACTTGCACTTGATTTCTGAGCATTTCGACGAAAACGGATAACGCCCTTTCTTCGCCATCTGACTGAGCATATCCGACGATTATCGTGTTCCAACTGACTTCGTTCTTGTCTGGTGAATCGGCAAATAACTTCATTGCACTGCCCATGATGTCACATTTAGCATAAACGTCCATGAGAGCGTTCAACACATACACATCTGATTCAAGACCGACCTTCACCACGAGACCATGAATTTGCGTACCAAAGTCGAAACTTTTTGCTGTGGCACAAGCCTGAAGAATACTGGTGAGTGTAAACTGGTTAGGTGTAACGAAAGCTCGTCTCATACGGAAAAATAGATCCATTGCCTCTCGGGTATGATCACTTTGAGCAAAACGGGTGATCAGAAAGCTCCAATGGATGACATCCTTCATTGGTAACTCATCGAATATCTTCAGAGCATTGGGCATGTCACTGAGCTGTGTATACAGTTCTAGCAAGCCAACACCAACATATATATTCAACCCATGACATGATTTTAAGATATGACCATGAATGGCTCTTGCCATATCAAATGCTCCTAGTCCAAGACTAGCTTTCAAGGCAGCGGCGAAGGTGTAATTGTTAAGCTTGAAACCGGCCTTCGCCATTCTGGAAAGTAGCTCTAAAGAATCCTCGAAATGGGCATTTTCGGCATAGCAAGAAATGATCCCCGTCCAAGCTACATTATCCTTGTGTAGAATCCCTTCGAATACTTTTCTCGCACTATCGACGCAACCGCAAAGCGAGTAGGCATCGACAAGAGCAGTCCCGACGAAAGCATTGGAATCATGACCGAGCTTAACGATCGGAGCGTGCAGCCAAAATCCAACCTCTGCCATTTCCAGACTGACGAGCAGCTTCATGAACGAACTGAAGGCGAATTGATTAAGCTCGTGACCTTCTCGATGCAACCTCGTAAACAAACCAACAGCATCCTCAGACGTATCAGACAGCGTATACCCTTGAAATAGAGTGACGAACGAAACAGTGTTTCTCTCGGACATTTCGTCGAATACCTTCACCGCATCCGACAAACGCCCCGCCTTCACATACGCATCGAGAAGAATGTTGGTGGCGAAGAGGTCCAAGCAGTTTCCTTTCTTCAAGATATCGGAGTGAATCGCCATTGCTGCAAGTGGGTCGTTGTTTTGAACGCAGCGACGGAGCAAACAACCGTAAAGACGAGAATCGAAGCCCGGAGCTACCACCTCCGGCGAATCCGAACACGCTAACATCGATTCGGCGGCTTGAACAGAGAACCCACAGCGCCGAATTCGCCGCCATCGAGACGCTTTGCAAATCTCCGGCAAATCGAAGGGCCTTAACGATCTGCTTCTGAAGAACCCAACCATGCGAGTTCTCGAGCTTCGTCTCAAGCCGCCTTAAGTTCACTTCGAAAGTGCGAGAGAAATGGTATATATATAACTATATAAGCCATGGGAGCAGAAACGGAACTCTCAATCATTCTGCCCGAATGAACCAAACCGGCCCAGACCGGCCTAAACCGGCCCAATAAAATTCAGGCAAAACGGTGTCGTATTAAGCTTGGTAATGAACTAGGGTTTGTCAGAGTGGGCTATAAAATCTAAGCTCCGACTTTGCAAACACCATCCCCATGTCTCTGCTACTTAGATCTGAGATTTGAACTATCGTTCGGTATCTGTTTCTCTTCCTTCGTTCTTCTTTGTTTGGTCGGGTTTTTTTTTCCTGGGCTTGATTTTTTTTTGTCTGTTTAAAAAATGGATTTGAGGAAGAAGAATTCAGAGCAGATGATGAGATACGCATTGAAACAAATGCTTGCCGATAATCTCCATGAGGCTTCTTATTAATCGAGCTTTTTAAAACTGATGCTCTGATTTTCTTCCTCCTTTTCCCTTTTTTTTTTTGTTTACAATTAGTATTTTCAATAAATTCATATAATGTATCTGATCTATAGAGATTATTCTTCATCGTTTTTTTATTCACTTTTGGATCTCCTCGTCGAAATTAGGGATTCACTGTTCAGTCTGGATTCGGTTTGAAAATTTTTAATTTTTTGTTTTGTTTTTTAGTTTTGTAAAATTTGGTCCGGTCATAGGAAGTTTGGTTCGGTTCGGTATATGTCACACTGAACCGGTTAAAAAAATATTGTTAGAAAATTTTAAACGGTTCGATTTGAAAACATTATCGAATTTTTTAGTTTGGTTCTGAGAAACTGTTCCGAAACATCCACGAAATCATAATCGCTTGAACCGGTTTAGGGTGACATGTACCAGATTTTAACCGGGGATCACTTGGGATTTGATTTTGACATTAAAAAAAAGGTCAAATCTATTTGTGGGTCAGTCCACCATAGAAAAGTAAATAAATTTGGATTCTTATATCAATGTACAACTTGCCCAAAAATTACATGAGTAATATTACCCTTTTTGAATACTTTTCTCGAAAGTTGTTTTACGGTCTACATGAAGAAAAATTAAATCAAAGTATACTCATTTTGGTTATGTTAGAATATTTAGTTTTTGCATTAATTAGATCACAATACTATCATTTTATGAGGGTTTATATTTTATAACGATCTCGTGAATACTAAATGTATAGCTAGCTACTCATACAGTTTATTTATCTGAATGAAATTTGATTTGATTTTTCTAAGTTCAAATTGTTTTTCAATCATATTCTTTCATGAATTGTCGGATCATTTATATATATATAAAAAAAGGGAGAATATAACCAAATCTTTTTCTCGTGACAACGTCGGCTTCAATCATGGAGCTTGTGGACCGTCTAATCTCTCTTTTCTCACTTTGTGAGTTTAAACGCTACTAATTATTCTTTATATAGTTTTGCATATAAACGTATTTCTCACCCATTTAGTTTTTTTTTTTGGTATTCAAATTTGTTTTTTTAAAAAACTTGTCCCAATGTAATTTGAATTTGAATTTGAATTCAAAACACTTTGTCCAACCCAACCACTAAAGCAGTCCACTTGAATTGTATTCAAATTTGATCATTAGACCTAATCCAATTATATCGAGTCAGAAAATAATTTTGTTATAATTAAATTGCATTTTTCCTCCCTAACCTTTCTAACGATAGTTCCAACATAGAATATGGAACAAGAGAATCACACTTATCAACTAGCTATAGCTACAAGGTGGGCGTTTCGAAAACGGTTCGGGTTCGGGACGGGAATTGATCGGTTCGGTTCTTTCGATTTTACAAAAATAGGTACCAATCGGTTTTTATATTGTATTCGATTCGATTCGATTTTGGTATCGGTTCGATTCGGTTCTAGGTTTTATTAAAAAAAAGATAGATTTCCTTTAAAAATATCCGGTTTTTCGGGATTTTTAAAGTTCGGTTCGGTTCGGTTCGGTTTCGGAAAAATTCGGTTCTCTAAAAATAGTACCGTTCGGGAATTAAGAACAGTTTCGGATCGAAAAAAATACCGTTTGTTCGGTTCGGTTCGGTCTGGTTCCGAAGAACCGAACCGAAACGTCCAGTCCTAGCTACAATCACAGGTCTACTCAGATTGGGTTATTTCTTGACCCATTTAGTTAATCAAGAATATCCTCATTTCTGGATTTTGACTTGGAACGATTATCCTTCAAAATCTCATAATTAAAAAAAACTGAAATAACTAAAAGACGTAACTCTATTTTAAATCGGGTGAAAAAGGGGCGAGTGAGAGATTGGCGATAAAAAACCGTTAAACTTAAGTAATTATTTTGAAACAAGAGATTTGAAACTTAAGTATTTAAAAGTTCATTTCTAAAAATGGAAATGAAAAAGAAAAGGTCAAGAGATTTGAGACAAGAAAACATTTAAATTTCTTTTGCAATTAGTTTTTTCTGTTCACTGTTGTCATGCCAGAAAAGTCGGATCATGGTCGGCAGACTTGACCAATACCATATACATACATACATATATATAGTCACGTGTATCTTACCTAATTTATCAAAGCATTAATTAAAGCTACACGCCAAAATCAATGAAATGGACCAACCCACTTAAAGAATAGTAAAAGATTCCAGAAACAGGATACAGAATCCACGAAGAGTTAGACTATATGATATTATACACAAAAGGAAACTTGGAAATTAACTAAAATTTGACTGCCAAAGAGGGAAACAAAAAAGAATATTAAAGCATCCTGAATTCGATTTAAACGTAATAACAATAATAATTTAAGGAAGTCTCCAAGAACTCACGAGGAAAGCATGGTGTGAAACCAACTTGAATATGTCAAAAGCAGTCTTGTCGTTTTCGTTGTACCGAACTGGAGGTTGTCTTAGGCCATCGGGGAATACGGCATGTTTCGTACTAATCTGCAGAAACGTGTTCATGACCGCCTGTTATTGACTTGCTTCAGCAAAGCATTATTATGTTATAGATATCCAGCAATTATGCATATGACAAGGCAAATTATCATGTCTATATATATATATGTATATATGTATATGCATCGTTGTTGGTCGCAGCAGAGGCAGAGTCAACGTGTTTTCATGATTCTATTATCATAACTAAAGAAGAACATCAAACGTGGTCCAAAACTGCAACGAGTTGCAGACGTCTGAACCATGTAGAAATCCTAATAAAGACAGAATCTTTTATACATCTCTCTACGTGACTTCTTTTGCTCTAATGAATTTGTTCTTTCATGTAAATTCGTTTATTTTTTTTGTTTCAAATCCGATTCTATAAGGTAACATTAAAAAAACATATATTATCATATTGACAAAGAGGTGAAATTACCTCTCTTTGCGCTTTTCCAGAAACCTTTGAAGCGATCTTCTTCTGGGGATTGGTAGATCTGCAGAAACAATATCCAAAACGAATTCTGAATGAGTTCATATGCAAAAATCACCAACCATTCCCATCAAATTCAACCGAGAAGCAGCACAATAAGATTATTTCTCAGACTTCATGTTCCTTGTCTCTTATCCAGTCCCCGATTCATTCTTTTTGCTTTGATTGTGAATAAACTACTTTCTATATTCTCCTTTACACTTAAACACCAATCGCTCTGATTCAGCGACCTAGCTATCTATCTCTGTTCCCCACTACGTAGTACTCATGCAGCGTTCTCGTAAGTTCTTTTCCGTCGAACCAACAACCTAAGCGTTCGTGTTCGAGAAAATCAAGAATAGTGTGAGACGATATGAAGAAACGCGAGCAAACGCTAACCTCCTCCGAGATTCTGACCGAAGAGCTTTTGTCTTTTGCAAGCAGCGACAGAAACATCTCGCCGTGCTGATTCGACCTTCTTTGTGGAAGATGCCTCTAAAGCAACCTTCAAAATGTTCTCCGCCTATACAACAAATTCGAAAAGATTCAGGCCAAGCTTGAACTCCAACACCATTGAAGGGATTTACGAAATACATAAATTTGATGAACGCACCTTATCGGGAGAAACCTTGAAAACCGAGACGGTTCCATTGTAGAAAATCGTCATAGGAGCGGGTTCAGGGACGTGCTCCGCGCTAAACCTGAGGCATTTCAAATTTCAGAATCCAGGTTCAGAGATTTTGAATTTGAAGGTAAAGACAGGCGCCAAATTCAAAATCAACAAAAAATTAAAAATCTAAAGTACCTGGCTACCGGTGCGTGGGCCGACAGAACCGGAATCTGAGGCTGGTCGTTCCTCGGAATGGACGGAACCAACGCAGATCTGCTGGGCGAATCGAACTGGCTTCCGCTTTCGTTGGTATGGCTAGGAGCACCAGAAGCGATCATAGATCTGATGATCTCCGGATCGATCTTCGAAATTGCGCCTTGAATCTCTGCAGAAACCGCATAAATCACTCCCACAGTGACTATCAACGAACACTTCCACAAAACATGAAAAAAAAATCGAAATCGAACCCGAACAACAAACCTCGAAAACTGCGACGACGATCGAGAAACTTCTGGAACTTAGGCTTGGGAGATGTCGCCGTCGCCATCTTAGTCTCCGGAGCCTGCTTCTTGAGCCCGAAGAAATCGACCTCTACCGTAGCTCTCGACATTTTCGGTCTAGTTCGTCGTCCTGTGGTTGAAGAGAGAGAAACTATAGAGAGAGAGGGATGGGATTGATGAAATGAAGAGGCGCGAGAGGACGATGATATATAAATAAATGAAAGTATATGTGTCCGGCGTCTTTATTTATTGGAAAACAAAGTCTTTGAAAAACGCACGAGGTTCACACCATCCTACAAGTAGCCGAATTAAATTTGTTTTTTTTCTTTAATTTACTTTTTTTACTTTTAATAATATTTTATTTCATAAAACATTGATATTTTATTTAGCTCCCAACCTCCACTACTTGCTTAAACCAAACCTCCTCGGCTCTAATTATAATTAATTAATGTTAGATATTTTTTTAATAAAAGGGGAATTTTTTTGTTTATAAATCGATATTTTTTTTAATGAATTCAGTGTACACAAAACACATGCTATATAGAATGTATAATGTGTAATTAATATTTGTCATATGGTCAACAAATTTAACTAAAATTTTCTATCATTATTTAGTAAATTTAACTAAAAAATGCATAAGTTCTTTTCTTTTCACATTTCTGTAAATTTCAAGTAAATTATTACAGAAGAGAAGAGTCGTGTTGATTTATTTACTGAATCTTTTAACTATAATATACATTTATCGTGAACAGTGTTAGCGATTATTATTATTATTATTATTATTATTAGGGTGGCGGGGGTGGTAGGTCTACAAAATGTTTATAAAATATATTATAGTACAAGGGATGCATGCATTTTGAAAACCCAATAGACCCACTAATCTTTTAGACTAGTTCCACTCTGTCTCTGAATATTATATAGTATATATATATATATATATATATATATATATATTTAAAGGAAAATTGGGGCTCTTTTATTCAAAAGAATTGAAAATTAATAATCGCAATAAAAAAAGAACTGCATACATATATTATTTAAGCATATATTATACAAAATTTAGTTAAATCTAATGGATCGGGATTTAGAAATTAATGTTTTTATCAAGAAAAACTAAATTGGACCAAATTTATTTGCAAAACTAAGATGAATAAAAATGTTAAAAACGGAAGAAACTACTAAAGCCGAAGCTGGCTTGATTTTGACTTGGCCTTCTCCCCTAACTCCTTATCTTATTTTTATTTCCTTTTCGCACCTTATTTCCCACGTTTTGTTTGTGCGTGTCGACATGTTTCCGATCTGACCATTTTACCCCTATTTCTGTTGTTTATGTCGTAAATACCCCTCGTCTGGCTAATTATTTCCGACTCTGTCAAGGGCGTACGGTACACCACACGGCCAAGATGCAAAATCAATGTCATTTCTTTTTCCAACCATATATGTAATATACATACGTACATACATACGAACCTCATAATTTATTGCGTAGAAAGATACTTGAAATGTTGAGTGAATAATGTCATGTCTGCATGGCTTTTACGTTTTTAAGGTATTTTCACAAAAAAAAAATTGTCATTAATATGAAATGAAGTTTTTATAATCCAAAAATTTCATTGAACATTTTACTCAATTATATATCCTAAAAAATTTGAGAAATTCATGTAGATGCCGCTCTCGATTTAAAATTGTCGAAATATTTTATTCATTTTTTTAAAACGTTTCTAATGTTATATCTGATTATATGATTTAAACATCCGAAAAATTAGATAATTTATGATCTATCATCGTAAATTCGATAATTTAAATACAACAAATATTACACGTTGTTTGTTTTAAATTGCCAATTTTCTTACAAGTTTGTGTTTTTTGTTTCAGATTCCAATATTTAATATTCTTAAAAAATTGTTAGAATAATTTTAAACTTGACTTGTAACGAGAAATGGAGGTGGGTGTTCAGTATAGTATTCGGTTCAATATTTGATCGGTTCAGATTGATCGATTTTTTTTAAAATGTTTTCCATCTGTTATTATATACAATTTAGTTTTCGATTTTATTAAAAAAATGGGTTTTCCGGAGTTTTAAGTTGATAGTTTTTATTTCGAATTTTTTGTTTGTAGTTTTAAATTTGTGGCTTTTGATTTTTATAATATTTATAAATTTTAAAGAATGAGTTTTGAGTTTTGAATTGATTTTTTAATTAAATAAATGTTTTCGGTTTAAAAAAATCGATCGATTATTTTTGGATTCTAAAAATCTAAAATCTCTTTCCATTCGTAACGTTATATTCCATCCGATTTTGAAATATTCCGTTGTTAGATTTTTAGATGGTTTTGTTAAAATCCATGGAAAAGCCCAAAAAAATTCACAATTTATGGGTCCAAACCTAAAGATGCATCTTCTTCTTAAACGAACGAAAAGGCGCACTATTCTCGTCATCGCCATTATTGTCATCGTTTTGCTTCGTAAGCAACAAATTCTCACGACTGTTCAGATCAAATCCCTAGTATTCGACGATCCTTTCTCCATGATTCTGCATATAATTATATAAGATAAAATATTCGGAGACGCTTCAGTCGATCACGACGAGGCTCTTGTACTCCTCGCCGGAGATGGCGGCCTCCATTATACGCATGGGATCGATCTCTCCATCGGAATCCAAGAACACTTTGATCAGATTCTTGGAGAACCCACTCACCATTGCCACTCCTCGCTCCTTCCCCTTCGCCGGAATCGCCCTAGATTCCCTCAGATTCCAGAACACCATCTCTGGAATTGCTTCTCCGTATCCTTTCTCCCTGTATTTCCTCTTGATCGCTTCGTGATCCGTCTCCCACCGGCTCGGATCTCCTCCAATGGCGTCGTCGAATTCCATGTCGCTGAACACGAAAACCCTTTTGACCATTTGCTCCGGTTTCAGATCTCCGTCCACCGCCACCCTCAGAATCAGATCGAACACCCTCTGGAGATCTGTGTTCGATCCCCAGTTCATTGTTCTCACGAACTCTGTTTTCGCCCTCAGATCGGATCCTTGGACCGATTGTAGTTCTGGGTTCTCGCTGAATGTGATCAATTTCCCTCTCCATGGATCTTCTGACAGCTCCGAGACGAGTAGACCCAGAGCGATGGAGACCTCCATTGGAGTACCTTCCATGGATCCCGACACGTCGGAGATGGCGATACAGTTCGTCAGCGAACCCTTCTTCTTCAGATCGTCGACCGCCCTTTTCCATTGCAGCTCCGCCACTAATCCGCCGTCGCCGTCGTCCAACGCCGCGATTATCTCGTGAGGAAGCAGAGCTCCGGCCGCCACCGTCGTCTTCCCTGTGCTCGCGTCTTCAAGGTACTTCTTAAACCTCTCCGCGTCGTGGTTCAGAAATATCTCCTTGTACGTTTTCATGGCGACGGAAGCAACCCTGTTGTACGGAAGAGATTTCCAGTCTCTCGCCGCCATGAACACCTCCGGGAGCTCGAGGATTTTCCGGAGAGGGACGAGAACATCTTTCCGGAACCGATCGCGGATTCTATACGTGTAATGAGCTTCTTCGATTCCTTCGTATTCTGGGCTCGATTCGCGAGGAAACATCTTCCTGGCGATGCCCTCGCAGAGCAGAGTGGATCTGTCGAACGACGAATTGATCGAGGGACACCATTTCGCGGCGAGGGAGACTCTGTTCGTCTCTCCGGCGATCAAGTGCTCGAGGTCTCGTTTCAAATGATCGGCGAAAAGGTCGGTGACGCGTTCGTAGAGGAATCGGTAATCTGGGTCGTGAGAGTATCTGATCACTGCCTTGTTCGCCATTGTTATCTTCCTCTGCTTCCTCTCCATGCTCGCTCTCGCTTTCTCCGCTTGGTTCCTCTTCTCCGCGTTCGCTACCCTCAGTTCCCTCGTTGCCGCCGGCTTCTTCTTCCTCCCTCCCGTCTTCCCAATTCCATCGAAGAAGCTTCCGCCATTGCCACGGCCTCGACCTCGACCTCGACCTCGGTACGGTAATCCCGATCTATTCACCGAGAACGGAGCTCTCCGACCACCGGCACGTCTCCCAGATCCGTTCTTCCTCTGCATCCACTCCGATTTCTGGATTTTTCTTACATCAGATCCCTCGAGAAGCCGATACAGAATCTCGGGGAAGTCCTTGAAGTATCCGAATTGGGCGAGAGAGTGGAGATTGCAGGCGAGAGTCTTCGGGTGACGGCCGTGTAGCCACATCGCCGCCGTGTAGAACCCTTCCTTGTCGGATTTTCCAGTGCCACGGACTCCACGGAGGTGGCAGATGAGCTTGAGCGCGGTCGGCGCGTCGTAGTCCCACGCGTTCTGGAGCCGTTGCTCGAGCGAGCCTTTGTCCGTGGTCGGGACGACGTGGAAGAAGAAGTCGAGACATGGGTTCCCGGCGGAGAGGTAAGTGGCGGAGCCTTTCTCGGTGTGACCCATCGCCGGAGATGGATCGACGGCGTTGACTCTGGTTGACTTGTTGAAGTTGGAGACCATGAGGTCCACGAAAGGGTTGCTTGGTCCGGAGGAGGAGATGGGTCTGAGGGTAGGGTTAGGGTCGCGGAGCTCCGGTGGGCCCAGCAATGGAGTGGGAGCCATTGTTGAATGGTTTAGGTTATGATCGAATTGGAGGGTTCATTCATGGTATATATGATGATGATAATGATGATGGGATTAGAGAAATGCCAATTTTTATATCCTATTTATGCATTTCTTCGTTGCCTTGGGTACCACGTCCTATGACTTTTTCATTGCTCGTTTATATTGACTTTTATAAATTAGATTGGTTACAGGAATTGTATAATTTAATATACAAGCTGATGCGAAGATCTCAAATTGGAACAAAAAAAATATGTGTATAGCAAAATTTTAAATCCCTTACTATCGTTATAACATATTTACCATAGGTAAATAGCTAGTGAACGAGTAATAATATGTGTGTATTATATCTGCATATTAAAGTTATTTTTTTAATCCCTTACCAATAAAAGTTTTTTCTTTATCTAAACGACATTGGGAATCGAACCTCAGCGTGATCACCCAGTAGTGTTATTAGATCTGTAAATGTAAGACCGAATCTCATCTCACCTGCCTTCGTTCGAAAAAATCAATAATGATTGTAAAAACTAGGTGTCGACTATTCCATTAGGTTCGATTTTTAAAAAAAAAATTTACAAGAAAAATCAATCACTTATTATATTATATTCGATTTGGATTCTATTTATTCCGATTTTTATTTTTTAAAAAAGTTGAAATCTTCTTAAATAATCGATTTTTCGGATTTTTTATCTGTTTGATTCAAAAATAATTTATTCAGTTCTTTGTAACAAATTAATACCGGATATTATTATTCGGTTTGGTTTGATTTTGATACGGATCGATGCCCATCCTAATTCCTTCAAGGAAGACCCCAATTTCATCTCCGGTTTGATGAGAAATCGAATCATAAACCGTGTTGCATATTTAACTCGTATTTATCCAAAAGGAAAATAACGAAGAACGACGTCAGACAGAGCCGAAGGCAAGGCATTTGCATAGACACGTGTCGCCTTGCCATGAACGACAACGTCACCTCATTACTTTATCTCTTTTTTTTTTCTTTTTTTCCATTCGATGCAGTTCTGCCATGATCCGGACAAGTAGAGACAAGACGTACCGACAAAGTTTAAGATGCCAATTTCATTTCGATTTATGTTCTAAATCAGATTTAATTACATATTGTACTCGTAATCCTTGCCAGAACAAAGACGATACACAAGCTTACCAATATATATATATATACAGATATTCTAGAATGATCCTTTCTCTGTTTTCCAATTAAAAAAAAATATAAACCAAATCCATTGAAATTCCCCGATTCTTCGTCGCAAAGGAAAAACACCAAACCAACCGCGTTTCTTGAGCTATAAAGCGCAATCTCGAAATCCAACTCTCGATTCCATCGAAACCATCAATTCCTGTAAGATTCAGCCATGAAAGGAGCTCGAGAACAACCCCAAGCCAGCCATCACGAGGAAGAGACCAAACACCAAGAAACTCAGGCATCGTCATCGGATCAAAAGAAGTGGGGGACCCACGTGATGGGAGCTCCCGCGGCTCCCGCGGCGCATCCCGACAACCAGACGGCGGCGTTGTGGGTCGCCGGAGATAACCAGCAGACACAGTACCAACCCTACATAGTGTACTCCCCGGTGGAGAAGCCGACGAGCAATCCGCTCGAACCGGTGATCGGGATGTTCCATTCATGGAGCCGTAGGGCTGAGACCGTGGCTCGTAACATCTGGCACAACCGTAAGAATTAGAATCTTCAATATCTTCGTAATCACGATCGAATCTTTATCAAGATTATCACGACCGAACCCATGTTTTGATCTGTGGGTTTTTGCAGTGAAGACGGGACCGTCAGTGTCGGAAGCTGCATGGGGGAAAGTGAATCTGACGGCGAAGGCCATAACGGAAGGAGGGTTCGAGTCACTGTTCAAGCAGGTATTCGGGACTGAACCGAACGAGAAGCTGAAGAAAACGTTCGCGTGTTACCTCTCGACCACGACCGGACCTGTGGCCGGGACCCTTTACCTTTCCACGGCTCGTCTCGCCTTCTGCAGTGACCGTCCTCTCTTCTTCACCGCTCCCTCCGGCCAAGAAGCTTGGAGCTACTACAGGGTACGTTCCCAAAAATAAAACCCCTATATCGATTATATAAATTTGGGATTGAAACCCTTTAATCATAAACGATATTTTGATACCGGGCGCAGGTGGTGATACCGCTGGGAAGCGTAGGGACGATAAATCCGGTGGTGGCGAAGGAGAATCCGCCGGAAAAGTACATGGAGGTGGCGACGGTGGAGGGACATGAGTTCTGGTTCATGGGTTTTGTCAACTTTGAGAAAGCCACTCATCATCTTCTCCACTCTCTCTCTGAGCTCAGATCATTACAACATCAAACCCTAAACCCTGTTCCACCACTACTTTCATGATCATCGTTCAATCATCCTCACGTATATAATCTATATATATATATATACGCATGTTTGTCCATTTTGTTTGTGGTTTTTTTTTTTAATGTTGAATCTGGTTTCATGTTTCCTTCTGTAACCTTATGTACTACCTTTTTTTTTTGTAAAATATGTGCGTTGAATTTCTGATGTGATATGTATTCGTTTTGTCAAAATAGAATATGCTTCAGTTTTTTTGGTCTAGCTATGGTTATGGACATTTTTTGGTTATTGATCATATTAAGTTTTTTGAAGAACAAAAAAATATTTTCAAACATAAGAATATGTAAATGGGGATAAGCTGATGTCAGACTTTTACAATTTTATAATCAAGATTAAATCACCGTAGGATCGAATCTTATAGTTAGTCATTTTTTGTGTTAAAATAATATTTACAGTGAAAAAAAAATGACTGATGGCTACTTCCATGTTTACAAAGCAACGCCCACATCTGCAGCAGCGTTAAGAGAAATTACGACACCGTTTTAACGGTTGCAACAGATTGGGCCTTTTGGGCCCAATGAGATATTTATAGGCTTTTTGAGAAGGCCCATAAAATTTTAATCTCGTTAAACAATTAGCTGCGCCTCTTGTTGACGAATTCGAGCCGTCGTCTTCTTCCTGAATATCCAGAAGTCAATTCTGCTAAATCAAAGTTTTCCTTTTCGATCTCGAATTTCTCGATTCTTCGCATTAAATAATACGCGGAATCGTCAGAGATTTGAATTGGACTTTCCTGGAATTCTATTTCTTACGCGTGATTATCTGGAAAACGCGTTTGAGAAGGGGATAATCTTAAATCAAGCTCTCTTTCTCTCTGTTCCGGGGTCTTGATCTTCCCCTCCTCTCCGGATTTCATCATCTAATCTTGAAATCATCTTCTGGCTGCTTAATTTCATCTGGGTTTTCGATCGTACGAGGAAAGATGTCGAAAGAAGGACAGACAGTGATCGGAGTTCCGTACTACGTCGGACATAATCCGTACCAAGCCGGAGTTGTGCCGCCGAATGCTATTTACGGTGATCCAATGGGAGCTCCGATTCAGCAAACGATTTATCGGGACACTCCTGCTCCGTTCAACTGTCCGTGCTGCGGTAATACTGGTCTCACCAATGTCAGGTACTCGCGTGATGTTCTAATTCCAATCTTCTTTTCGCAGTTTCTCGTGAATCGATCCGTTTGTCATTAGAGCTTTTTCTCATGGGCATTTCGTGGGTTTTGAAATCATGTTAGGAAATTGGTTACATTGTTTATAGATCTGTCGAGGATTAGTGAGAATATGCGTTCGAGATGTGATTTTAACTTCTTGAATCGATCAAGGACAAGAATTTTCCTCTAGAGAAACGTTGTCGGTATCGTGGTTTGAGCGTGAATGTGCATTGACTTTGCTGGTTGAATGATGGGTTTCTGCTCGCTGGAGTTTTAGTTTTAGTTTCAGGATTCTCGAAATCGCAAGAAATGTCTTCCCGATTTCGCAAGATATCGATCTTTTACTCAAACCTTCTTTTGGTGTTTTTGTTTAGTTGATGGATGGCTTCTGGTTTTAGTGTTCTAGAGATTGTATGCAACTCACTTTTTCGTTTCCGATTTTTCTCCAAATGGGATCATCTTGCTTGTAAGATGCTAATGTACGACTCAATGATCAGCCTTGTAATATTTGTAATCTTCCTCAATGCATAAACGCATTTACACTCTCTGGGAGAAACATGAGCTTGTGATAAAAGGGTATACGAATTTAGCTCTAAATTAGGTCTTTCGGGAATTTCTGAACCGGGATATGGTTTGCTGAAAAGCTAAGACTTCCTCTTCGTATTAGTTTCTTCGTCCTGTTGCATGTGTATGACATTATTTTCTCGGCGGTTACCTGTTCTCTCATAGAACGGGTTTGACTGTCGTCATTTCCTTCAGATTTCCCGCCCTGATCTTCTTCTTGGCTTGGATATGATGGATAGACACCCAATCAGTTAATTTGCATTTTGCATCCCTTGCCCCATGATTTTGCGATTATTGGCAATTACATGTCTGAAAATTTTCTAAATAATGTGTTGGGGAGTTAGGAAAACAAAGAACCGGCCACTTTTATTGGATCGTGGTATTGTATTGTATGCAACTTACTTTGTACCGTCTCTCCATCTATGATGCAGATCGAAACCCGGTCTCTCTGCCGTTGTTGCATGCATGATGCCGATGATGCTTGGAATCTGCTTTCTCTGCCCTTCAATGGACTGCCTTTGGCACAAATATCACTACTGCCCTCACTGTTCAAACAAGGTGATTCAACCTTTGTCTTTTCCATTTCGTTCCTTTGTGATACGGCAAGAGGTCCCTTTATTGAGGATGATATAACTTGCTCGTTCATTTACAGGTAGCTGACTTTGAGAAAAAAGATCCCTGCCTGGTTATGGATCCGCCACAATGGAAGCAGTCGAGCTTTGCACTCCCTGCATGATGGGTCATTATCTGTTTACATCACGTGTTTGGTTTCACTTGTTCTACTGTTTATCATCTTTGGATAAAAACCGAGATCCACCTACGGTAACGCGAGTTTTCATTGAAAGGAGCTCTATGAATTGTGTGTAAGAAGATGAACCTTTTACTTGATTGTACAGTACATTGTGTTGTGCTCTGATTTTATGGAAAGAACCTTCTTTCTAATGTTCATCTTGTGTGCCCTTCCTATAGAAAACCCAATAAGGAAGAGACAAGCCCGACATGTTAGAGAAGAGCCGGTCACTTTAGCCAAGGAGACTGCCCGTGAGCCATGGAGCCACCACCATCGAGGTTGTAGCCATGGCTGCATCAAGGTCACAGGCAAGTCATCCTTGGCTAAGAAACTAAGACTCTTTATCTTCATGTAAGGCTCCTCTTCCCTCTTTTTACACACATACTTTCCTAGAATGCCCGAACTCTCCTTTTATAGCCCGGAATTAGAACAAGTTCTCGGAGAGAAAGCTCGTTTCTTGGAACATATTCTTATGGCCCGGCTCGAAAATTTTCAACTCTTTTTAGGTCCCTAACCTTATCCATCACAGAATGTGAGTTGTCAATGTGTCTGAAAATCTTCATCGGAAAAAAGGAGGTTTCAGGTTGTGTTGAGAGTAAAAGGGTTGTTGACCCATTTGCTGCTTTTGCCCATATTCCCAACATATTGTTCTGATGCTGAAACTTACGTGTATACAAGGACAAGGGTTGACTTATGGATCCTTTTGGACGGTCGGTCCATGTTTCTGACACCATTGCAATGGGATATATATAATTTTCCGTTGACAGATTCTGAGATCGAGTCACATCTACCACTAGTAGTCTTGAGAACACTTTGTTCCTTAGGGTTGAAGCAAAAGCCGACAAGCAGTAAACCCATCTGTCGAAATTCCTCGGGCTTATCAGATTTAAGAGCTTCACATTGTCGTTTGTTTTGATTTGCCCTTCGGGCTGCGTTAATGGAACATGGAATCCGATTCTATGAGATTACGCTAAGCAGATTGGATGGTTAGGTTACTGTCTTCATCTATTTTTTTTTTACCGTGAGAATCCAACTGCTAATTTCGGACGCGTTGGCTCGATAAACCCCTGCCCACATACACGAGTCCGCGACTTACACGCAAAAGGTAAATGAATTATAACTGACGGGCGGACGGGTGACAGACAAATGGACAAGGAGTCGAACCCACAATATATTGTGGATGAAGGGCGAAATCTTTACTAACTCACATGGATTTCCCCAATCATCTATATTTCATAGTTTTCTTCGTTAGTATTTATTCGTATTGGGATTTTGGTCATCACAAAGAGAGAAAGTAAACGAAGAGCTAAGCAAAAAAGTTCGCCAGAGAAAACGGTCCGATTTCACAGCTTCGACGACTTTTCAATCTGTATATGTGAATGTGTGTGTGTGTGCACTGCACGAATAAGGTGCCAACAAAATCACCAGAAAAGCTAACATTTTTCGACGACCCATTACCGAAAATGGTCCGAATTCACAATTTGAATGACTTCTAGATCTGTATACGCCAAGGCGTGTATATATACACACATGTATGTGTATGTATGCAAATGTACTCATGTACGTACGTATCTATGCAGCGATGTATCGAACGTCAGGAGATTTCTCCGATCATTCAGACAAAACAATCACACAGTTCAGTTCGGTCTCAAATCTTAAAGGAATGTTCTGTTTTTTTTTTTTTTGTTCATTGGTTCTTCGGTTTCATCATGAACAACCCAAAGAATCGAAGGCCCTGAACTCATTAGGGTTCGTCAGATACGACAATGGCGGCCACTGTCAAGGACTTCCCTCATCCATGCCCAGATGCAAGCAGTTTGATCTATGTTTTCGCTCTTTCGAGAATTTCCCGCGTTTTCTTAGAACCGAAGGAAGGCGATAAACTGTGTAAAAACCGAAACTTTGATCACAAAATATCGATCCTCAAAAGAGTCAGCTGGCGTACAAACGATCCATGTCGCTCGAATTATTCCGTAAAAGTTAGTTTCTTCCGAAACAAAGCTGAGACTGGGACCAAAAAACTTGGAACCTAAACAGATGGGCAAAGGTTTCGAACCGGGCGGGAACTAACCGACGGATATTATCGCTGATTAGATTACGCAGCTGCTGCCATTGGCACGGATCTGAAGCAAGCTCTCTTCGCTGCCCGAACAATGTCATCGACCTGCATAAACGAATTCGGAAAAAAGAAAGGAAAAAGTTCACTTGCTGAAGATAGATATACCAAAGAACGAGCCACCATAGATACAATGTTTTTGAATTATGCCAGCTATTTGTTGAAGCAAACGACTCCAGTAAATAGTTTTAGGATGGACAAGGGTCGGGTATTTCGGGTTACCCGAACATCTCGGGTCTCGCGAGATATAACCGATCTCAGATCCATTTTGGTCGGGTACCGAGATAATTTTTGGATATCTAAATTCAAGATCCAAATAAGAAATTTCAAAGTTTTTACAAAATCTATATCCTATACTAGGCTGGCTACTAGCGGTTGACTCGGATTGGATACCCGGAATTTCTGTGTTACCCAAACCCCAAATCTGAAATTTCGAGATTTGTATGTAATTTGTCTAAAACCTAGGGACAAAAAGGTAATTTTACTCTTCATTCGGATATCCGCCGATAATACCCATCTAGGATCCAACGTCCCGAATCCGATTTTCGGGGTTCTTCTTATTACCAAACCCAATCTCAACTCATATAATAGCCAGATACCCCAATGCCGGGGCATTTTCCCCGATAAATACGCATTAAAGCTCGCCTTCAGGCAACTCCTCAAAGATACAACACCGAAGTTTTAAAACACAAAACCGCGAACCGGGAAAAGAAACGGAAGTACTCGAACAAGAAGTCACCTGTGGAACGGCCAACCTCTCAAGATTGGCGGCGTAAGGCATCGGAGTATCCGCACCGGTAATTCTCTCGACAGGTGCGTCGAGGTATTCAAAGACCTCCTCTACGACCGAAGCACTGTTTAACACGAAAAAGAACAAGCAGAAATTGTTTTTGCTTAGGAAGAGTTTTCATTGATAAGAATAGAGCGACTTTAGGGGAAACAACGAACCAAATCTCGGCCCCGACACCATGCTGAGGGAAACCCTCTTCGACAGTCACTAGCCTGTTGGTTTTCTTGACTGAATCACATATCGTGGCTCGGTCCAGCGGACGGATTGACCGGAGATTGATAACCTAGATAGGCAGGTTAGGTTGTTACCATTGGAATCAAAACTTTTAGATTTTTGGAGATGCGGGTTTTTCTTCTAAAGTCGGTATACCTCTGCGTTGATTCCTTCCTTTGCGAGTAGCTCTGCAGCCTGATCAAAACGTCAAAAAGATATAAGTTCTTGAAAATGTCAAGAGCGTGAAGAACTATGACCAAGATCCGGGTATACCTTCAAAGAAAGACCGACCATCTTCGAGAATGCAGTTATGGTCACATCCTTCCCTTCTTTCTCTATCTGTCAAAGCAAGTTCGAGGTGTAAAAAATGATTACCTTTTTTACATTTTCACGCGAGAAAGCTCGATGATAACATAGAAGCTTGGGTTTTGGGGAGGAATCTCACCTTTGCTTTCCCAATTGGAACGGAAAAGCTCGAATCAAGAACCTCGTCAGATACAGGGAATGACTCGCCATACCTGATCCGGAAAAAAGTTTTCATCAGCAGAGAAATCCTTTCTTTCGGGTTGAAACACTGATCCCTAAACCTCAAAGGATGAAACATACAGTAAAACAGTCAACTAAAAAAAGCTCCTTAGTCTTACAACAGCTCGTTTTCAAGGAAAACAACGGGATCGGGGTCCCTTATAGCCGCTTTTAGCAGACCACGGGCATCTTCGGATGAGTACGGAGCCAACACTTTCAACCCGGGGCAAGCACCATACCATGGGGCATAACACTGGATCATAACAAAGAAACAGCTCTTTCAATTATTATTCTCTGACTAAAATCATACCGAGAAAGAGATAAAACTCGTCGATAAGAGTATTAAAGGGATAGCATACCTGAGAATGCTGAGCTCCGACCCCAGCAGCAGCACCGTTAGGTCCTCTAAACACGATAGGAACAGGTATCTGACCAGCTGACATGTAATTTGTCTTTGCAGCAGAATTGATAATGTGATCAATTGCCTGCCCGGAAAAAAATGAAAAAAAAAAGGACGATGAAGTGAGAATCTTTGGAGAAAATAAACCAGCTAGTAAATATGTTTTATAGCACCCGAATATGCTTTTTAAGCAGTGTTATTGCAAAAGCATGAGACTCTGAAAAACTTAGGATCATGTCTGTTACCTGCATAGCAAAGTTAAATGTCATAAACTCGATGATTGGCTTCAGGCCGTAGTAAGCAGCTCCAACTCCGATACCCGTAAAACCAGCCTTCAACAAAAAGCATAACGGAAGATGATGAAGAGATAAGAGACCGATCAGTAATATAAGTTTCGCATATCAGGAAAGTGACGACCGAAGAAAGAGATGGCAGTAGCTGACTTAGAGAAAGTATATACTAAACCGAGAAGATTAAAAAGAAAGAAATAAGCATCTAGGTCAAGAATTTCACAGTGGTTACCTCAGTGATTGGAGTGTCAAGAACCCTTTCGGGTCCATACTTGTCCAAAAGCCCTCTAGTTATCTGTTGAAACAGACAGTGCTTAGAACATATTGTTCAGAGAAACCCGAGCAAATCATACTTTAACGAAAACTAACCTTATAGGCACCTTGATATTCCCCAACCTGACCACGCATGACATGAAATCAAACATCAAAGAAACAAAACACAACAAAGAGATAAAAAACCGAAACCCGAGACTGAAACTCATGTTTGAACATATTCACCTCTTCTCCCATCAGAAACACTTTGGGATCAGCCGACATTTCCTCGTCGAGTGCAGAGTTCAATGCATCTCTCACTGTCATCTGCAGATACAAACAAGTCGAAACCGAAACTAAAAAACACATTTCCTGATAAAAGAATTGCCCTAATAACAAGATCATGATGAAGACAATAAGACTCGATCACTAGGCTCGTTTCTTCAGTAGCAGTAGATCATAACATAAAACAGACAAATCTCTTGTAAAGCCATAGCCATGACAACAGGGATTCAGACAAGAACACATGGACTGGACAGTGAAGAACGGATAAGAAACCTGTTTTGTTGCAGAGGAGTAGCATCTTGCTGATGACACCGAAGGAAGAAACTTCCACAAGGATCGCCCCAAAATCTGAGGAAACACGTTCCCAATTCAAATAAACAAATCAACCACATGATATAATATTCTGAAATAGAACAGAATCATGGATCGTGAAACACGGTAAAGAAAACAAATCAAAATTTGCGTGATAACCCAGATAAGAACATGTGACAAGGAAACTGGAAAATTGTAGAATTTCCGACCTTTTGCCGCGTAATCCCCAACATTTCCCCTTGATTTTATACTGAATTGAACGCAAAACGGAACAAATCATCAGGAAAACGATCGAGTATTAATATATAAACTTTTTGGGGAAACGAAGGAGAAAATCACTGAGTAATGATTGAAACACAAATCAGCCGAATACAACAACGTTACACGATTAAGAATGATATAAATTAAGGATCTTGATCAAAGAGAGAACATAAAACCTCTCTCTTGCTCGAGCTGTTGAAAAGGTTCGATGAAAGCTCCGAAACGAAGGAACCCAGATATACTCGCAAAATATATCCGTTTCTTTCCTTTTTGGGTTTCTCGGAATCTGTAAAATTTTCTGACTTTTTACCGATTAGCAAAAAAAATCAATTTTTACATTGGAATTTTGATATTTTGGCTGATGAACAGATGCTTGGTTCCTGGCCGTTGATCTCCAACGTCGAAGTCAGCATAAGTGATATTAGACCACGTGGAGACGATCGGACGGCTAAAATGGTATGACAAATGCAGGAACGTGAATTTGAAGGATCATGATTTGGGATTAGATAGATCTTGAAACATAACTGGATGAGTCTTGTTTGTGTCTTAATCCCGGAGGCTGCAAAAGCCAAATTGTGTTTGTATTTTTTGGTAATGAGGTCATTTACATTGTAATTAAACTTGTTGTTTGTGTGTTTTTGGATCCATTTTCTGATCAGAATTTTAGGATTATACCCATATTCATATGCATATTTCAAATTGCGATTTTATAATAGCCTAATATATATATATATATATATATATATATATATATTATAATAAAATAAATTTTTAAAAAAAGTTCAGAATATAACTTGTGCATATAGGATCTATATCTAAACTTGATCATGAATCCAGCTGTGCGCTATAAATACTTTTATCATGCCATTCAAAACTAGAAACATAAAAAATAAAAATAAAAATGATAAGAAGATTCAATTATATTTATTTATAATGAAATCCATCATCCTAAACAACTGGAAACTGGTGGGTTTGAAATCCAGCCCACAAGCTACTAAATGGGCCTGAGGAAGGCCCAATACCGATATAAATTTCTAGACCCTTGTTTTCACCGATTGGTGGAGCGAGAGGTCAGATATGGGAGGAGGGATGATGACGATGGTGACGATCCAATTGTTAGATAGCTAGATTTGGGATATGTTGTTTATTTCAATGATTACAATGAATTTTGAACGATTTAGGCTTGCAATATGGCAAATGGTATGCTCCCACTTTCAATGTAACTTCATTTGATCTTCATTCGTTTTTTTAATGAAAATCTTATTTCATGTTTGTAGTGTAATCGGTCAGAAACGTCATCAAGAAACTCTCGATTCATTCCGATTTGAACAGAAAACGAAAGAACACAGAAATTACGAGTTCAGCACTGAGAGAACTCGGTGCCTACGTCTCGGAAAGAGGATCAGCTTTCTACTAGGGTTACAAAAAAGAAACAGTCGGAAATCCACCGAAAAAAACCGATCAACAACACCGGAGAACGAAGAATCGTTCGCCACATACGAGAGGAAAAAACCCAAACACACAAACGGCCAAGAACAAGTCTCTGACGAAAATGAAACCTTAGGGTTTCATTAACCACAAAACCAAAAGACCGAATTGCCCCTCTGTCCTCAAACCCTCTGTCTCGAACCTAGGCTTTGGAAGCCTCCTTCTCGTCTAAAGGGTTTGCTGAAGACCCCATAAATCTCCATATTCTTCTGCAAAACCTGCAAAAAGAAAAAAACACGAAGCAAGCAAAACACGCCTAACCATAGAGTATTGATCCCGTAACTTCCATGTAACTTCCCCTCTGGATATGGTTCAAGGCGCATTGAACCTACCTTTCTAATAGAGTCCTTAGCGAGTGTGTCATAAACACGTCTCAGCATGACAGACGCACCTAGTATACCCGAGCGAGTGTGCCCCTCCGCTTCCAAAGACTACCTAAGATCTAGACTAGTAGGACTCCCTAGACCGTCTAAATGACCCCCTCTGGTGAAGTCTAAACCTCACCTATGGCCCCCCGAAGGTCAACCCCGACATCTACCCGCCTCCTGAGTCTACCCCGACTACCCCGAGACTAACCTTGAGTCATACTAGCAAAACCTAACTCTCGATCCCCGTAGAGATCAAGCGACCTATGACCTCTACCCCGGATCCCACCTACCGACTAAGGTGTCCCCACGGATTTTACCCCATGAAGACTCCCTTAGTCGATCCATAGGAACTCCACCGAAGGCTCGAAACACATGCATGCACGTGCTCCACCCGAGAGGAAATGCCCCTAGCGCTACTACCCTCACCGACTCTACACGGTGACCCGACATTCCCTAGCTCGCCCCTTCCCCTGAGCTTCCTACCCGAGGTAACTCCACCTAGACGTGGAGATCTCACCTCCGAACCTCACCCGAGGAGTAGTCAGAGCATACTAAGAGTACCTCCGAATCATACTCCTCGGTCTCCTCCTTCGCCCTCCGGGACCTCTTCTTCCCGCCACCCGATTTCTCGGGTTTGCCCTTGACCACTAATCCTTCCCTCGTACCCCGATTAAGGGTATCCTGAACTAGAAGCTCTAGCTCCTTCATCCTAGCTGCGGCCTTCACCTTCTCCACCGAGATTGTTGCTCGGGAATATTTTAAGACTTTCCTCAGTTGCTCGAAAGCAGAAGGTAAGGAGTTCAGCA